AAGATGAATTTGGAGCTGTCGAACCCAAAAACTCCACAGACCGTTCTTCATCACTTTCCATGTTATTCTGATGTTCAAAGTTCTGCCTGACATTTTCTGGCTCTTCACCATCACTAACCGGATACTCGATCTCAAAAGCAGTCATGTCAAATATAACAACATGAAAATTTGAATTTGATTTGAATTGGAAAACCAAAAGGTGTCCTGGACCGATGGAGAAATACTCAACAAACTCAGACCAACCATTACCGAATCAAACCTTCCCCCTTTCTTTTACCACTCCAAATTTCCAAACTCTACCGTTAGGAACTGTTATTGTAGCAACACTAGAAAGGTCATCCCCCAAACTTTGTCACAATTTTTTGTGGGATTTTCTGCAATTATGCAAACTAAGTTACAGGAACCATTATCTTCAGTCAGACAAATGCTTTTACACATGTCAGTCCTAAATTTTTTTCTCGAATTGGTCAATGTTAAGAAAACAAAGAACCTGTATCTTCCAACCAGCAAAACTATTCTGGAATTTAAAGAAACAGATTTCAGAAGACTAACAAAATTGCAAACCACTTCCAAATTATGGTGGAGACTATTTAAGATATCCAAGGCAAAGTGGAACGACAAAATCCCATGTGAATATCAAGGCCAAAATGAAATATGTACAGAAAAGGGCACGCCTCTTAAGGGCAGTTAAAAAGAAAAGAAATGAATTCAATCAAACAAATGTTCCATGAACAAGAAGACATATCTTGGTACAAACTCAACAAACTAGGCCACTTGAGATTCATGAGAATTATTCAAAAGTTCATGCTACACTCACTAGATTCTATTCAGTACCATCACCATTCCCACAATTACAAGCAACAATGTCTATTAAGAAATTCACTTTGAATAGAACTTCTTAGTCTTTAAGGGATCTGGAAACCTTAAACGTTCTAAAACTGATAAAATTTCAAGCTTAATATATGTAGGAAGCTGTATTACATTAAAGAACATTTTCAGTGACAGAAACTTTTGTATGCCCAGAAATTTATATGTAACATAGAGTTCAGCCTAATTTAAAACAACAGTGTATAGCTTTCTTAACCCTCAAAATAGCCTACTGTAAATCACAAACATTGTTATGCCCAGGAAAATAAAGGGCTGACGTGGGAAAGTCACGTGAAGGGTGACCTGCTCCCGTCAGAGCAACACGCACACGTCAGACCTGCCAAGTGATATGGAGCTCACACGCGTCCATTTCCCTGCAATAAGTCGTGCGATGTCAGCTTGGGAAAAGGAAAATGGGACGTAAAGCCGGATTATATCCTGACAATCACACCAAACCATGGATTTAGTGATGATTATACGCTTCAGTTTNCCCCCCCCCCCCCCCCCCCCCCAAAAAAAAAAAAAATCAAATTTTCAATGTTAGTATTTGGATTAGTACAAATTGGTTAATGCACATAACATTACTCAATTTTTTGTTCTCAAGTGACACCCTCAAGGGTTATTGGTATACTCCCTCGTCTAAATTGATTTAAATGGACTCATGAAATTATTAAAATTTAAAAGTTACAAAGATTATTAAAACCTGTAATAAAGTTGAAAAAAAAAACTACCCCAGATTCAGTTTTGTTTGCTTAAAAAAACAGATAAAATTTGAGTGAGCCTATAAACTTGCATTCTGAAAAGATATAAATACTGGTGCATGTCATAGATTTTGTCTGATGAGTAAGCCTTATGGCACCATGTCACATCCTTCTTTTTCATCTACTCCCACACATGACGAGCCAATTCATGAGTAAACGACATGTTCCTAACCAAGATTTAGTGAAATCCTAGGTTGGTGCCCTTGGTTTCATAAATTCCAGATTTCCGCCCTTAAATGGATGCCATTTCATTTTTTAACCGTTAAAAGCTAAAATGGTCCTTTCCTTCATTGTGGCACTCTCTCTCTCTCTCTTTGTTCCTCTCGTTTTCTCCCTCTCTCTACACTCTTTCTTCACCAAGGCCTCCCATCTTATTCTCTTTCTTTCTTCCCTTCCCTTCCTTTTCCTTCTCTTCTTATCTTTCCTCTCTTTGGCCGGCGACAAGTGGTCGAGCTGAGTTCTAGCTGCATCGTCAACACCCTCTACCACCGCTGGCCAAGAGATCCCAATCAAGATTGCTACGATCACGGTTGGGATCTCCTGGCCAGGCGGTATTTGGTCTCGAAACGAGAGGGATGGATGCACGAATCACAAATCCACCCCCACTACCCTTTGCCTTGCTGTGGTCGATCGCACGTTCAATCGCGGAGTCCCTGCCGTCGCTGGTTGGAGTTTTGTGTTGCAGGAGTGCTTGTGGGAGTTTGATTGCTTGTTGATTTGTTAGAGTTTGTTGATTGTTTGTATGTAGTTTGTGGAAGTGTGTTGATTGTGGAGGTTTGTGGGAGTTTGATTGTGTTGTTTGTAAACCATATCCACCACCTTGACCCAGCTGCCTTCCCAAGTCGCCCCCCACTTGTTCGACAAAAAACCTCACCCACCCAACCACATCTACGCACAACTGCCCCTGTCGTGCAGAGGGAAAAAACTGACAATTTTTAGAAGGAAACGTCGCAAAGTATGACTGTCGTGCAACCCTTGGAATAGATCATGGACAACAAATGGTGAGTGGGGACGACTGGTGGTGGGCTGTGTTTTGTTGAGAAGAGGACAGGGGTTCATGTGATGGTGGTAAGGGAGATGATGAAGAAGAAGGTGTAAGTAAAAGAGCCCTTTGCCCCTCTGTCAAAACATATTCATCACTAACGACGTCCATTTAAGCGTGAGAATATGAAATTTACAAAATCAGGGATACCAACCTGGGATTTCGCTAAACCTTGGGTGGGACATGTCGTTTACTCCCAATTCATTTTAAAACATTACAAATAGAACCCTCATATCACATGTCATTTCAAATACCTCAACGTTCTCTTTCCTCGTTTAATCCACCGAACTCTATGGTTACCCATCACATCTTCACTTACAAATGCCCATCTCAATAGTATAGCTAAGCTACCATATACAAACACAGCTAATATTATCGCTCGTAATTAACATGTTAAAATGTAATACATAAATATAATAAAATCATCAAGACTTAGCGTATCATGAATTATGGATCAGAGAGGATGAAGAGATGGCATGTAATTCATCAGAGAAGATATGGAAATGGTAAAAACAACATAGTACAATAAGGACAACTAATAAGAGTTTCAAAAATTTAGTTTCATTAGAACTATTTTCAGTTGGACCTTATCTTGATGATGACTAGATTCTGGTTCGTTCAGTAAAATTTTAACTACACAAGTACACATACAAAACTAACCACACCAACTACTAAAGATTCAAACCAATACTATTGATATATTAATCCAATTAACGATAGGCCGACAACACATTCATGAAACATCATTGTCACCAACATGATAATTTGAATTTGATCTGAATCGGAAAACCAAAAGGTGTCCTAAACCAATGGAGTGATACTCTACTGGACCGATGGAGTGATACTTTACATACTTTGGTAGTTATCGAACAAAATCTTTCCTTCTTCTTTTACCACTAACTTGCCAACAATTAGTGTAGTCTAAGTAGGGGTTTTCAAAAAAAATGCAAAAACCCAACTAAATCGGTAATCGAAAAACCGATTCGATTACGGTTCAAAGAATTCAAAAAACCATATTTTGGGTTTGGTTTACGGTTTTCCTGAAAATCCAAATCGATTAACCATAACCACCTTAATAGATATTATATATTAAAATAAAATAAAAATTAAATTATTTATATCAATTTTTAATGTATTGTTAATTGTGGTTGGATATGTATATATATATATATATATTAAAATAAAAAAATAATCTTAATGGATATTATATATTAAAATTAAATTATTTGTATCAATTTTTAATGTATTGTTAGTTGTAAGTCAATAGATATGTATGAATATTTAATTTTTATTTGAATATGTATTGTTGATATTTACAATTTAATTCAAGAATTTTTTTTTTAAATAAAAAAAAAAAAGTTTAATCCAATTTAAGAGAAAAACCGGTTTTTTCAAAACGGTTAACCGAAACATCGACTTTTCCCTATACTGGTTTGGTTTCGATTCAGAAATTTTCCTGAACTGAAAAATCGATTGGGTTCAAAAAGCGGTTAACGGGTTCAATTAACCGCTTTTGAACACTCATAACTGCCCAACATGAAAAATTTGGACAGGAATGTTTATAAAAAGTCCTGATGAATTTATAGTCAATAACAAGAGTAAACGACATGCTCCCACTCGAGGTTTAAAGAAAGTTTAAGTTAATACCCATGATTAGTTTAAGTTAATACCCATGATTCCATTTATTTCAAATTCCCACCCTTAAACTAACACCGTTTCCATTTTTTTAACAGTTAAAGGGTAAAACGGTCCTTCCCTATAATTTGAAATTCAAACTTCAAAATAATCTCACATTTCTCTCCACCTCCTCTCTTCCTTCACCTCCACCACTGTTGGCCAGAGATCCCGATTGAGATCATTGGGTTGCATCCCACTCCCATTGCCACCACCACCATGCCATTGCCGCCGAACGACAAACACAAACACTCCGAAAATCAACCAATCAACCCTAGAAATCCCAAACAAACCTAACTATGAAAACAATCAGATGGTGGGGGTGGTGGTGCTATTGACTTTCGGGTTTCAGGAGGGACAAAAAGAGTGTGGCTATGGTTGAGGGTGAGAGAGAAGCGATGGAAGAGAAGAAGGGGAAGATGAAGAAGATGGGAGGGGTAGTTTGGTAATAGCATGTCATTTACTCTAATTTTTATTTATCTGTTAGTTTAAGGGTGGAGATTTGGAATAAATAGAACCAAGGGTACTAATTTGGGCTTTCGTTAAACCTAGGGTGGGAACATGTCGTTACTCCAATAACAAATCACAAGTCAAATATCAAGGATGCATGCTAATAAATTTCATTATGGATTAATTTTTATGTATTGAAACTTTCAGATAAAAGTCGTCGTCTCTCATCATCTCAAAGACACAAATGTCTCCTTCCTCCAAATTGTTAAAAATTATTCCAACCTCCTTTTATCACACTCCCACGACTCGACCAATCTGATATTCACCGGCACTCTTTTCTGTCTTTTCTTTTACCACTCAAACTTGCCAAACTCGAGCGTTAGGGACTGTTAGTGTAGCAATATTAGTCAGCTCATCCCCGAACTTCATCTTCATCACAAACTTTGGTGGGATTTCCTGCAATTATGCAAACTAAGTTGCAAGAAATATTTTTAAAAAAATGGATAATCATTAGTCAAACAAATGCTTTTACACATGTTAGTCCTAAATTTTTATCTCGAATTGATCAATGTTAAGAAAACAAAGAACCTATATCTTCCAACCAGCAAAAAAATTCTGGAATAGGAAGAAACAGATTTCAAGACTGAAAAAATTGCAAACCACTTCCAAATTATGGTGGATACTATTTAAGATTTCCAAGGCAAAGTGGAACGACATAATCACATGTGAATATCAAGGCCAAAATGAAATGTGTACAGAAAATGAAATAACAAGAACTTCATGACACAGTGATACTGATAGATGAATTTGAAGCAAACTAGGAACTTCCTATTTCAACCATAAGATAATTAATGAACTTTGGTTCGATGAAATCAAGCTCCATTAATTTTAGGGGAATCAAATAAACACATAAAGGGAAAACCAAAATGTAAATCTGAAATTTGAAAAGGAAAATCACCAAAACAATGCCAACAGAAACAGAAGTATTGAAGCTACTATAATCTTAAGAATCTACCACAAAGCAAAACAGAGTCAATAAGATAATAAGAAATCTCACATGAAGGCCAAAATGGCAAACAATTTTCAAGGAGATTCAAACAATCCTCAAAACTCCTTTTTCTCCTTTTGCTCTAAATAAGATTTCCTGCTGCCCCCTCCTGGTCCGCAATGCCGTGTGTCCCCTTCTCCTCGTTCGATTGTTCTTGCTCCCAGTTTTGTGGTAACTGTAATTCATTCCCCTCAAAACTCCTTTTACATGTCAAGCATTGAACCAGTGACCCACAGCATAGATAAATTATAACCATCAATAACCATTGAACTGGCAACTGTAATTTTTGAATCATATTCCAAAAGTATTGGACACTTAACAACCCCATCACCACTAACCCACACAAAGTTCAACAAAAATAAAAAATAAACATACCCTGATATTAACAACCAAAATTAAGTTGGAGCAATAACTAACCTGGCCATTAGCCAAAACAACAGGGTCAGCCACAATCTCTCCAGAAATAGGACACCTGAACACTTCTGGAACATCCAAGCAATCAGCACTAATAGAATGAGATTTCTTCAACTGAAACTCTTTCAAACAAGACAAGACCCTCAAGACCTCATCAGTTACTTGCATGCCATAATCATCTTCATCAAGAATAGTCTTAAAAAGTCTCTGTAACTCCATTTTCAACTCAAAAACCTTCCTCCTTCTATGATCAGTCTCGTGAGCTTCTGGGTTGGCCATAAGAGACCAGTCTTCAAAATGAGACTGATAAAAAAGATTGAAACTTTGAACCACAAATGAACCAAGAAAAGCCGCAGGAAGCTTTAGATGCAAAAGGGTGCACATGGCTATGTGATGAGTGTTCGAAACGAGGCAACATCACCGTACTACACCATAACTTTTCTTGGCTTGTCCACCATTCAGAGCTGAAAGAGTGAAGAGAGAATCGTTTTTGCTACTTGGGTGGGATTAAAATTATAGTTGATATTTCTGCTTCTATACCATTTACAACTTCTCTCTCACAGCAAAAATCTAACAAGAAGTTTTCATTTTTCCTGTCAGTTTATCATTCAACAAAGGATAGGTGGGGGCTAGGTTTTTACAAAATTGAAATTGGGTTTAGAAAAATTTTAGGCTTCAAATGATTCTGGAGAAGGAGAGATTTCGAATTTTAGGGTTTTGAAATTCTGGGGGAAAAGGATTTGATATTAGTTTACGCTGATATGTGAAATTTTGGGCTTGAAATTTTTGAAATTCGAAATTTGATGTTTAAATTTTTTTTTTTTTTTTTTTTCAAATTATGGGCGCTTGAATGACGTGGCAGACAGATAGTGTGATAGCTGAGGTGGCTTCTATGAAGTAAGAGGAGGGGGGATAAAGTAACATTGTTAAATTTGTTAGAGAATACTCTTATTTTAAAGCCCAACGACTTATACCTACCGAAGGTTTGGCGAAACAATGATTGATACCCAAAAAGTTTTAAAATGATAAACAAGTACCTTTCGTTAGTGAAAAGACTAGAATGTCATTTGAGAAATATTAGTCTATTTTTTTAATTACTTTTAAACCCCTTAAGTTTATTGATTCCATCAAATACTCCTAGAAAAAAGTTTAAAAATTAACAAAAATACCCCCACCTACCCATACTTGCCAGATTCCGACGGCCACCGTCGGTGGTGGCCGGAATCTGTCACAACAGTCCACCAAAAATGGCTGATAATTCACCGATCTAGCATTTTCTAGCCAGATCCACCATGGATCGGGTTGAAAAAGGCCAGATCTGACGTGAAAAGGCCAGATCTGGCTTGAAACTGATGGCCAAAGAAATGGCTGTCGTTGATTGTCAATGACAGCCAAATCTTGGCCATCGTTGACAGACAACGACGGCCACATCTTTGGCCGTCGCTGACGGCCAAAGATGAAGTGTTGCAACCGTCGACGGCCAGATCTAGCCATAGATCTAGCCGAAAAAGGTCAGATCGGTGAATTACAAGCCATTTCCGATGGTAGCGTAGACCATTGTGACAGATTCCAACTACCACTGGCGGTGGCCGCCAGAATCTGGCAAGTATGGGTGGGTAGGGGTGTCTTTGTTAATTTTTAAATTTTTTTCTGGGGGTATTTGATGGAATTAATAAACTTAAGAGGTCTAAAAGTAATTAAAAAAATTGACTAATATTTCTCAAAGGGCATTCTAGTCTTTTCACTAACGAAAGGTATCTGTTTGTCGTTTTGAAACCTTTTGGGTACCAATCGTCGTTTCGCCAAACCTTGGTAGGTGTAAGTCGTTTCCCCTATTTTAAAGAGATTTTTCATATAAATAAAAAAATATCTTTATTAATTTTAAATATAAAAAAAAAAAATTTATTTAAATTCAATCAACTCTTAACGTTTAATGAAGATGCTCTTTATTTTCAAGAAAGAGACTTAATAGAAAAAACAATTAATAAATAAAATGCATAAAAACTTATTAATTAAAATTATGATGGAGAGTGAAATTTGACTTTCTAAATGTAAAGAGTGAAATTTGACTTTCTAAATGTAAAGAGTCAAACTCACTCTTTAATTTATATTTAAAGGATAAAGAGTTAGATGGACTCTTGTTTTTATAGAAATACTCTTTATAATAAGGAGTTTGAGTCATATAAAGAGTCATTTGGAGATGCTCTTATTTGGTTAAACCTCAATGGTGCGTCTGGTTCATGGAATGTTGGATTTGATGGGTATGTTATATTAATATATTCCATTGAGAGGAATAATTGGTGGGTATATTATTTAAATTACTGAATTGCCATTTTTAAAATATTAATATAATATTTTTTTAACCCCCAACATTTCAGATTTAGCTAAAACATCCCCGCTTATATAAAACTTTAATTTATAACTAAATCACCCCACCACCCCGAGCCACTGCCTGCCATCGTCATCCACCGTCAGAAGTCGCCAAGAGTCGTCGGGAGTCATCGTGAGTAGCCCACCGTCACCAGGAGGCTCTAATATGACTGTTTCTAGCCATATTGATGGCCAAAAACACCTATATCGGAGTAGATCTGGCCGAAAATGGCCAGATCTATTATGGTTATTTTCGACCAGATCCATCTGTTAATGGTAAGATCTATTCTAGCTGGAATAGATTTAGCCATTAATGGTCATATCTCACCTTGATATGGTCGATAAAAGCCATGGATTTGGCCGTTAATGGCTAGATCTACTCCGATAGGGGTGTTTTCGGCCATTAATATGGCTAGAAACGGCCATATGGGAGCCTCCCGATGACGGTAGGCTACTCACAACGACTCCAGGTGACTTCCGGCAACTTCCGGTGACAGATGGCGGTGGTTTGGTTGGCGACAAGTGGGTGGGGGTGGTGGCTTAGATGGGTTGCAATTTATTTTGAATTTAAGAGAAATTTTGTCTAAAAAGTTAATTAAGTGGAGTGAAATGGTAAATGCCAGATTCATGTAAATTAATTTAAAAACAATGGTACTATTGTCCTAAAATTTTATTAATAAATGGTAAAATTATAACAAAAATAAGATTACCTTGGTAATCTTACAATACCTAAGAAACTTAAAGTTATCAGATTACCTCCAATATTACTGATATTAACTACTATTGGTATTGAAAGATTATTAAAATTTTATATTACTTGATAACCAAACATGATAATCAAGTAATATAAGATGACACAACCTCCAACCAAATGTCTCCTAATAGGTTAAGATCAAAACCCCTTTTGTTGAATAATCCTGTTTTTTTTTTTTTTAATAAAATAATACGGGCAAAGATAGCTTCAAAATATCCTATCGAATCATCTATATAAAAACCAAGCCATTCGACACTGATGGAGTTGTCTTGAAACTCACAAAATTACAAAAGAATATAATTTTTTTTTTTCTTTAAAGTACAAAACACCGATGCGAGAGGGATGTGACCATGTGACCATGTGAACAAAAAAGTTGAAGTTTCCTATCTGATGATCATTGTTGGAATTTTCATTAAAATTCACATAGCGGTTATTGAATAATTTTCATTACCATGGGGAGGCCAACAGGGGAAGGCAAATTATGCTACATTTTATAGCTTTTAATTGAGAAGGATACATTTTGATGTCTGGGATTCTGAGCCACCAGCTCTAGTAGCCCTGAACCAGCATGTCATCAAACCTCCAGGCAGCACGAATATGAAAGACTCCACCCTATGTATAAGATAATAAACACAACTGATTAAGTTGGCCAATTGCCTAAATACCCCTACTGATCTTAAATGGTTTGCCTCCCTTAAGTCCCTACAGAAGGGTAACAACAATGAATGGACTATCTCTACATTGTTACAATATAAAAAATCCATTTCCAGCAACCTTCCATCCATAGCAATCACAACTTTCCAGTGTTCTTGAGATGCAATACATTTCTCTCACAAAAACAAGATGATTAGTCCAAAGAAGCTAGTCGAATTGGCCAAGAAGTGGCAGAAACTGGCTGCAACCAAGCAAAAAAGAGTCTCGTCGCCGAGCACCTCTGGGGTTATTGAAGCAGAAAGTTGCAGAACATGTTCAATGACTGAGAAGGGTCATGTTGTTGTATACACAAATGATCAAAAATGCTTTGTGATTCCTTTGAATTTCCTTAAAAACAACATCATTATAGAGCTTTTTACGATGGCAGAAGATGAGTTTAGACTGCCAGTCAATGGACCAATCACGTTGCCATGTGATGCAGTTTTCATGGAGTGTGCAATCTCTTTGATTTTAAGGAATGCAGCAAAAGATGTAGACAAGGCGTTGCTTATGTCCTTAGCTACATGTTTGCCATCTTCAAATCTCCATCAAAACCAAAGTAATCAACAATCATTAATTTGCAACTTCTAATGTAAATCATAGTTACTAGTTTTTCAGTTATACAATGGTGTCAGTAAATTGACATATAGTTGATACATTAAATGAAGAAAACCTCAAAAAAGTTCTTGCTTTTCTGGATTTCTTTCGAGGGTAAACCAAATATAGTTATGAAAAAATTCCTGTTACAATTATCTTATAAAATTAAGTATGAAACTGAATTTGTAATTTTTAGTGGGAGAGTTATAAAAGTTGAGACTTCAATTCTGTCTTTGAATCTTCAAGTTCCCTAAAGTGCAAGACTTATCCCATCTCTTCAGTCTTCAACAGGACTTGATTACATCTCGTGAATTTTGTTTCCTAACGTCCAAAACAGATTAAAACGTGACCTTTGAATTTGTTCTCTTATTCAATTTCGTTACTCATTTCATCTTTTATAAATTGTATAAGTGTCAAAATTATATTCTTATTCGTTGTCGATAGCAAACTGATTTGATTGGGAATCAAAACGTAGGGAGGGAAGTAACAGATATTCTGTACAAATATAACCAAAGAGGTACACAGATTCTGGCAGCTATATATAGTTTCTGAAAAGTGCTCTCAATTGCCATGTATCCAACTTTGATCCTGAAATAATGTACAATGATAGGATGTTGCATATCATCTGGGGAACAAGGAAAATGCAACCGAAATGGATTGGAAGAAAAATAGAAATAAGGCAGTCTTAGCCCCGTGATTCTTCTATTTAGGCAGCTCACACATGGTTTGTCCCACTGTCTCGTGCAACTAAATCACCAAGACAAAATTGGTTTTAAGCTTATAAGATAGTCATATGCATCTTCTTGTTACCAGATTGACCATTATATCTGCATTCTGTGCTTGATAAAGACTGTGATTTTGAGCCACTTACACCAGCAGATTTGGACCACCATGCCATCAAACCGCCCAGCAGGAAGAACATGAGATTGTTGGGTGCAAGGCTCCACCTGATGTGTCAAATTATAAAAACAAGTGGCGGAATTGACCAACTGCCTAAATTGCTATAGTTATCTTCATACCAGATGGCTTTTTATCCCTTAAGTCCCTACATAAGGGTAGCAGCATTAAATGGACTATTTCTAGCCTTCTAACTATATAAGAAGACCCATTTCGGTAGCCTTCAATCCATAGCAGACACAACATTTCAGCGTTCTTTAGATCCAATAAAATTCTCTCACATAACATAAGATCTTTTAAAAAACCCAGAAAGCTGATATGAACCTGGTATCTCTGTCTGATACGATCGCCTTGGGTACTCCATGTAATCTCACAATCTCTTTGACATATAATTGCCCCAATCGAAATGCATCTATCTTATCCGTCATAGGTAGAAAATGAGCTGTCTTGGTCAATCTATCAACCACCACCCAGATTGCATTATATCCTTGCTGAACTTTAGGAAGTCCCACAATGAAGTCCATTGAGATATCCTCCCATTTCCATTTAGGAATCTCTAAGGGTTGGAGTAATCCTGATGGTCTCTGATGCTCTGCCTTTACTTGTTGACATGTTAAACATCTGGCAACATAATCGGCAATGTCGTTTTTCATACCTGACCACCAATAACTTTTCTTCACATCTTGATACATTTTTACACTCCCAGGGTGGGCTGTATAAAGTGTATTGTGTGCCTCACTAAGGATTTTATTCCTTAGTTCATCATCTTGAGGTACACATATTCTATCTCTAAACATCAGTGCCCCATTGACTATTTTAAATTCGTTCTCTGTACCCTTATTATTCGTTGGCAGATATCTGCAGGTATCATCTTTACCCTGTTTCATCTTGATCTCCACCAAAGTGGGTTTGATCTCCATTTGGGCAATCCTCCTTTGATCACAATTTCAATTCCTTCTTAGAGGATCTCTGCTGTAATTGTCCCTGTACAGTGATTTGAGATAAAGAGACTTTTCTGCTAAGGGCATCTGCTACTGTATTAGCTTTCCCTGGATGATTCGATGTCACAGTCATAGTCTGTCACCAATTCTAACCATCTCCTCTGTCTATTCAACTCTTTTGAGTGAAGAAATACTTCAAACTCTTATGGTCAGTGTATATGTTGTATTTACTCCATACAAGTAGTGTCGCCATATCTTCAAAGCAAAAACCACTGCTGCTAATTCCAAGTCATGGGTAGGATATCTGCTCTCATAGTCTTTCAATTGTCTAGAGGCATAAGCAATGAATTTCCCTTGCTGCATCAGTACTACTCCCAAACCATTGTGGGAGGCATCAACGTAAATATCATAATCAATGCCTTCTTCTGGCAATGTAAGAATTGGAGCTGTAGTTAATCTTTCTTCAACTCCTGAAAGCTTTGCTCGCATGCCTCAGTCCATTCAAATGGTACTCTTTCTTGGTGAGAGCTGTAGTGGTCTGGCTATCTTTGCAAAGCCTCACGAACTTCCTATAGTACCCTGCTAAGCCAGAAAACTCTAACCTCTTTCACTGTCTTTGGCCTCTACCACTCGAGCACCGCTTCTACTTGACTAGGATCCATGATCACGTCTTTAGAGATCACATGACCCAAAAAGGTAACCCGATCCAACCAAAACTCACATTTTGAAAATTGGCATATAGCTATTTCTCTCGCAACTTTGTAATACAAATCTCAAATGTTCGGCATGTTCTTATAAGTCTTGGAATAAACTAGGATATCATCAATAAACACCACTATGAACTTGTCAAGGACATCATGAAAACTCGTTCATAAGTCCATAAAAATTGCGGTGCATTAGTCAATCCGAATGGCATCACAACAAATTCATAATGCCATACCTTGTTCGGAAGCCGTTTTCGGTATATCTTCCTTAGCCACTCTAACCTGATGGTATCCTAACCTTAGATCAATTTGAAAACACTAAGGCACCTTTTAAGGTCAAACAAATCATCTATCCTGGGCAATGGGTACTTATTCTTTATGGTTACTTTATTTAGTTCACGTATAATCATAGCATCCTTATAGACCCATCCTTTTTTTCACAAATAGAATTGGAGCACCCCATGGGGAATGACTCGGCTTGATAAAGCCCTTGTCAACAACTCTTGTAACTGCTTCTTCAATTCTTGGAGCTCAGCTGGGGCCATGTGATAAGGAGCCTAGAAATGGGTGCTATACCGGGGCTAATTCTATACTAAACTCCACTTCCCTCTCTAGAGGTAAACCTGGCAATCATCTGGAAACACGTCAATAAATTCATTTACCACAGGTACCTCATGTACACTTGGGCTGAACTCTCTCCTTTATTTACCACATGTGCAATGTACCCAGAACACCCCTTTTTCAACATCTTTCCAGCTTTTGCTGCTAATCATCATGCTAGTTGGGTGCCCTTCTCAAAAAATGAAGTTATCCGATAGTCTAGATTAACTTGACTTTTTCCTACGACAGTCTACTCTGCTCCATATCTACTAAGAAAGTCCATCCCAAGAATGATGTCAAAGTCTGGCATATTGAAGACAATCAAATCTGCCATCATATCGGCCTTAATAGTCACTAACTCCCCCATTAAAACTTCATTGGTCACTACACCCTCACCATCAGGCAATTCAATCTTAATGGCTTGGTCTATTTAATAGGCATTAACCCTAATCTTTTAATCTACCATAGGAGATGAATGAATGAGTAGCACCAGAATCAATCAAGGCATACAGGGAGTATCATGGATAATAACTGACCAGAATGCTGAAGGGTTGGCTCTGCCTGCATCTGGGCCACATTATATACCCTGGTTGTCGTGCCTCCAACTGCAGGTATTGAAGTGCAGAACCAATGGGACAATCTCTAGCAATATGACCTGGCTGGCGACACCTGAAACAACATTGGTCCCCACTAGACATTCACTCTGGTGTCTTCTCCGACATTTCTTAGTAATGACCTCACCTTTCCTTTGTTGGCCCTTTTTCTTCATGTCCTTCCTGTTGGCTTTAGGTAAGACTCCTTTCTTGCCTTTACCCTTATCGTCTTTGCCAACAACTTGTTCTGCACTAATGGATTGGCCAAGCTGGAGAGGACTACTTGCCTTGGGGAAAGAGTAATTTGGTCTCCTTCCGTAAGTACACCTCTGCTCTAATGGCTCTAGTGAGTGCTTCACTATATGTTTGGGAGGGTTGATAACCCGAAACATCTCTTGCAATAGTGGGATGAAGTCCCCCCACAAATCTCTCCAATCGGGTCTGTGGTGTACTGACCGTGTGGGTGCAAACTTAGCCAAGGAGTTGAACTGATTGAATACTCTTTGACGTCATTTCCTGTTGCAGACTAATAAACTCTTGTAGTTTTGAGGATATCATGTCTGCTGTCGGTACTGCTCCTCAAACAATTCCTTGAACCCTAACCAAGTGGAGTGGTGGTATCTTGGTCTGCTCCATAAGTCCCACCATGTCATAGCATCTCCTCTTAACAGGTACGTAGCATACCGGATCTTTCTTGATGTCATAGGAAATAGAGCAGTAGCTTTCTCCACCAACTTGATCCATTATTCGGCTTACTGGATCATTAGTGCACTAAATTCTGGAGGCTGATGTTTACTTGAGGCCTAAATTGGTTCAATCTGCTTTGGGGCAACATTGCTTCTAGAGTACTCGTCCTTGCTGCTTAACTTGGTACCACATTGGTTGTCATGTTTGCAACGGAGCACTTGTACTTTCCGGCGGGTTTCCTTAAAGCTCTATTAAACCCTCTTGGATCATACGCTCCAATGTTGCAACATCTAAACCCGGAGTGCTTGAAGTAGCAACTGCTGGGTTAGGAGCTTCAGGTGCAGTTGGAACATCTTGTGCATTTGAAGCATCACTGCGACCTGGACTGTCTCCTGGTTTTCTAATTTATTCCCTATCACAATCACACATATAACGTTATATCATCTAATACATCCTTACATAAATTAGGTAAACATACTTACACCGATCGGACAACTTGAGCAGCGGAACTTTACATGAGGGATACTGTCATCAACTCTCATAATGCCTGACTCCAAATAGAAAACATCTTA